AGGTATTATAAATTTTCCAATCAAAGGGTTAGGGATAGGTTGGAAACTTGTTACAAATTAAGTGGAGAATAATATCCCCATAAGAATCCAACCAGCTGCTTTTATTTATTTCAAATTAATTGTCAACTTTTTAGCAGGTTTTTTTTTTGACAAAAAAATCTGTTAAGAGATTTTCCTTTTAGGAATTTTAAAGAAAATCCAAGAAATGCTGAGTGGAGAGGAGGGGAATGAAATGTAGTTAAAACAGGTTTTTTCACAGTGTTAAACGTTTAATAGCATGGACATAGACTTATTTATATTCTTTTGGTGCTATTTTCAGCCAGTGCCTAAGTACTGTTTTGTGTGACGTCTGGTCATACTTATTTTCCTAAACTTTTCTTGTGTTTCCAAAATGAACTATTTGTAATATTTCTGCAATCAGCAGTGTTTTTAAAGAAGAATAAAGAGACACTGTGTTTGGTGATCACAGTATTTTGTTTATTATCACAAGTCAAATGCTTAATTGTTGGATAAAACAGCTTTATGATGTGATCTATGAATATACTGCATTTTTATACCATTTTAATTGTTCATAATTGTGCAAGTTGACATTTGAATTATCGCCCAAAGCAGTAAACATTGTGTTTCTATGAGTATTTTTTTTTTGCAAATGGTAAAATGTTCCTTTCTATAATTCCTTTTTTCACAGTGATTTAACAGAGCTCATTACAAACAACAGTTTATGTGATCTGATCCTTTTCATAAAAAATTCAAATGACTGGAAAACATAAAATCCATGCAGAGTATTTGGCTTTGTTTTAACATTTTATGAATTATATTCTGAGATTGGGGGTAGATCAAGTCGTTTAAACAGAGACATTTTGGTGGGGAGGCAAGGTGGAGGTTTTAAACTGAATGCAAAATCCATGTGTATATACACAAAAGGATTATAGCTCTCCAGTAATTATCTGGGTTCAGAGTTCTTTCTAAATTTGTCAAAAGTTCTTTATTTTTTTAAAGCACTGAAAAGAAAATGCAGGCTGTGGAAAATGGAACACAAAAAAATATTAAAAATGAATTTATAAGAGACAGAATATTTTGAATAGATAATGGTTCGGAGCAAAATTGTTTAGTTGCAGTTTGTAGTAAATGGAACAGAAAAAAATGGCCTTATTGTACATAGATTACCTTCAATAAAATAAGTAACAATATTTAGAGATGCTGTGACTTAGGAATTAAGCATTCCAGATTTCTGGTGATCTTGGCTTCCAATAATTCAGCAAAGTTGAACCTCTCATGCAAAGTGTTCAGGAAATTCAACAGTTTACATTAGACTGAGAAGCTGAAATTATGTCCTGAGAGAACAATTCCATTCTGTGACCAAGAAAGCATACAGGAATGTATCCATGAAATTACCAGAAGTCAAACTCAACTTGAAAAAGGCTTTATTAGTGTGAAACCGAAGTGCAAGCATCATATCAACCACAAATCCTTTAAGTATAGTTTTGAATTGGTAGAATGTATGGCTCCAGAGAGATTTGGAACCTTATCATAAATAAAACTCTAAAAAACTTAAGAGGGGAAAAAATACAAGAAATAGGGGCACATCACCAAAGAGGAATATAAGTAGTCTTCAGAAACTATAGAAGTACTTTCCAAAAAGGCTGGTGTTCAGAATAAACTGAAACTTGAGCAATTACAAAAACAAAACTACTTTTGATAAGTTAGAAATAAGAAAATCCAAAGAGTGTATGGGTCTATCATGAGAGAGAATCAAAATGAGAATGCAGAACTTCATATCTCAGAAAGGAAATGGGGCACCGGCTTATGCTGCCAAGAGAAGGAGGAAACTGAAGTTTAGGATATACACAAGGAGGGACTAAGAGAGAACTTGGCTAATTTAAATGAATTCAGGTCTCCAGGACCAGCTGGTCCTGAAGGACTAGAAGAGATGACTCAAGAACCACTCTTAGAAATCCTGGAGAACTCCTGAAGACCAGTGAAGACCAGCGATTCTGTCAAATTAACTTTATGCTCTTCTTTGATAGAGTGACTAGCTAAGCGGCGTGAGGAAATGCTGTAGCCATAGTATCTATATGTCAAACTCGGCGCGTCAAACTCAAGGCTTATGGGCAGATAAATCCTGTGGGGTCCTTAAATCTGGCCTGTAGGGCTGGCCTGGAAATAGCAGAGGATTGGCCCACGGTGCCTCTGCTAGCAAAAATGGGTTGGGGGGGAACACACAGTCCCTCCACACCCTGTTTTGGCCAGTAAAGTGCTGCAGGAGGCCATCCAGGCTGAAAATAAGTGGGTGTGGGGGCTATGCGTGGCCTCCCGTGCCCCATTTTGGCCAGCAGGGTGCTGTAGGAGGCATCTGTCCTGTCTCTCCCTTGCCCCCCCGGCTCCCCCGCAGAGAACTACAATGCTGATCCGGCCCTCGAAGTCCAGTTTGACACCCCTGATCTAAGCAAAGCTTTTCAGATGGAGAGCTTGATTCCATTCTCCTTCAGAATGTGGCAAATGGGTAAAAGATGGCTGAATGATGCTGTGAGAAGGACACGTGGTCAGCTGAACGGAGCACTCAAGAGAATGAAACACCTCTGTGAGTGATCTTCAGAATATCAGATGGAGGGCCGGTGGATGCTCCTGTTCAGCGTGTTTTCAATGAGCTTGGATGAGGGAGTTGAGGGGGCATCAGTGGTGGGATTCAACATTTTTTACTACCGGTTCTGTGGGCGTGGCTTGGTAGGCATGGCTTGGTGGATGTGGCAGGGGAAGAATACTATAAAATCCCTATTTCCACCCCACTCCAGGGGAAGGATACTGCAAAATCTCCATTCCCTCCCCATTCCTGAGGGAAAGTTACTGCAAAATCCCCATTCTTTCCCCACCCCACTAACCTGCTTTCCAGTTCTGTTTTCCTGTGCAGGACAACAAAAGAAGACCCAGCCGATCAGCTGGGACTCAGGAGGCAGAGAATAGACGGGGACAGGGCGAGTTAGAGGTGGTACTTGCAAGTTCTCCAAACTACTCAAAATTTCTGCTACCGGTTCTCCAGAACTGGTCAGAACTTGCTGAACACCACTTCTGGTGGGCATATAAAAAGTTGACAGATGACACAAAGCTGGGATAGGTTTCCTCTCAGGTGAGAGAGAGAAGACTCAAAAAAAGGTCTAGCAAGGGTTGAGCGGATGGCCAAAAAAAGAGAAAAAGATGGCATTTAATAGAGAGAAATGGATAGTTTTGCAGCTGGGCAGGGGCAAAAAAAGTAAGGAAGCAGGATAGGATGGGGAAGACTTGGCTTAGTAGTAGCATATCTAAGTGGGACTTTGTTGACCCCCAGTTAAACATGAACCAGCAGTGTGATGCAGTTGTTAAAAATGCCAATGCTATCTTGGGCTGCATTAACAGGAGCATAAAGTCCAGATTTTGGGAACTGATTAATCCATTCTTCCTTGGTTGGATTCCACCAGGAACGATGAGGAGCACCAGAGTGAAAAATAGCAAGGATGAATTGGAATAATGTTTTGAGAAAGGCCAAAGAGGATAGTGAAGGGTGAGAAAACTAAGCCCTGCAAGGAATGGTGAAAAGATTTGGGCATGTTAAGCCTTCAGAAGAGATGGTTAGGGGTGACAGGTCATCCATCTTCAAGGGCCTTCAAGGAGCAGAATCATTCCCTCTTCTCCAAAAAGGAAGAAGCAAAACCTCACAAGGAGATTCTATCAGTTGCCAGCCTTTAGTAAGGCTGCAACATATGAAGTGGTCAGTTTTTTTGTTTTGGCATGTTGGCTGGGGGATTCTGGGATTTAAAATCTATATCTCAATTACTACCAACCAGATCCATTGAGGATCTGTATCCTGTCAAAAAGAGGGCTGTGAAAATATTTACAGACCCCTTACATCCCGAACAGAAACTGTTTCAACTTCCCTCAAAACGACGCTGTAGAGCACTGCACAACAGCTAGACACAAGAACAGTTTTTTTTCCAAACGCCATCACTCTGCTAAACAAATAATTCCCTCAACGCTGTCCAACTACTTACAAAGTCTGCACTACTATTACTGTTAATCTTCTCATCGTTCCTATCACCCATCCCCTCCCACTTGTGACTGTATGACTGTAACTTTGTCGCTTGCATCCTTATGATATATACTGACTGTTGTCTAGTATGATTTGATTGCTTATTGTACCCTATGACTGTTATTAAGTGTTGTACCTTATGGTTCTTGACTCTCAACGAATGTATCTTATCTTTTATGTACACTGAGAGCATTTGCACCAAGACAAATTCCTTGTGTGCCCAATCACACTTGGCCAATAAAGAATTCTATTCTATTTAACATTGCCAAGTTTGAAAAATACATTTCTGGCAGATCCTCCACTGAGCAAATGAACTCCAAGCCTTTGATCCCATGATTCTATAGTTGTACGATTACAGGTAGCCCCTGACTTACAAGACTTTGTTTAGCGACCGTTCAAAGTTATAACGGCACTAGAAAAAGTGACTTGTGACCGTTTTTTCACAGTTACGACCCTTGCATGGTCACCTGATCAAAATTCAGCCGCTTGGCAACTGGTTCACATTTATGACGGTGGCAGTATCCCAAGGGGATGTAATTGACCTTCGGACAAGCAAACTCAGTGGGGAAGCCAGAGTCACTTAACAACCAAGTTACTGACCTATCAACTGCAGTGATTCACTTAACAGCTGCGTCAAGGAAGGTCGTAAAATGGGGCAAAACTCCCTACCGCCTTCAGCCAGGGGGCAGTGGAGGGTTTGTTTCCAGCGTGACTTTGTTGCCCTCCAGTGGCCGCTCGGGCCTCTCGCAGCTTTGCCCTAAGGAGAGAAACAGCTGGAAAAGAACTGCCGGAAGTGTTAGCACGGGGGTCTCGCTATAATTTCTATCTCTAAAGACTCACGCTGGCGGGGGTTGCGGGGTGGGGAAGCGATCCTTTCCCGCCCCTTTTTCATCTTAGGCCCAATCAAGAACCGACCTTCGCCTCGGAGCTTCCGGAAGAGGAGGTGGGCCGCTGCGCATGCGCAGGAGGCGGAGCGGCGCGCTTTCGAGGCCATGGGGACGGTTCACGCGCGGGTAGGAGCTCGCCCGGCTGACCTTGGAGGGGGGAGGAAGGAGTGGATGGGGCACGGGGCGACGGTGGTCCCCTGGGCGTGTGCAGAGTGCCCTCTCCGGGGACGGTGGGAGGCTTCTAACCACCTGGGCGCCTCCCCCGAGCGGACTGACCTCGGGTGTCCCAGCCAAAGGAGGGAGGGTCTCGGTTGCGTGGAAGAGCGCCCTCCTCCCGTGTGATGGGGGAGAGAAAGGGGTTGCCGTTCAATCCTTTCCCGTTTTAAATAAAGTGGAAAAAGACACCCCCCCCCCCAAAAAAATGTGTTGGGTCCATTGATAGCATTCATTATTATTTTTCCACCGCGCAGGCAGTCCTCGTCTTGCAGCGGTTCGTTTAGTGACCGATCACAATGGCACTGGAAAAAAATGTGACTTAGGACCGGTTTTCATCCTTTTGTAGCGTCCTGTGATCGAACGTCAGAGGCTTGGTGACTGACTTGGACTTACGACTGCATTGCCGTGTCCCGGGGTCACCGGATCCCTTTTTGCGACCTTCCAACAAGCGAAGTCAATGGGGTTGGGGGGGGGAGATGCCATATTCACTTAACAACCGGGCTACTAACTTATCAACTGCCGTGATTCACTTGACACCCATGGCAAGGAAGGTCGTAAAATGGGACAAAGATCGCTTAACAAATGTCGCCCTTAACCACAGAAACGATGGGCTCAAGTGTGGATGTAAATTGAGGACTACCTGTATTTTGGGCAACGCCTCGTCCTCCCTGCCCTCGTTTTCTCCTGCAACAACGACCCTGCGTGTTGGACTGGACCGAGAGGCAGGACCGGCCCCAAAACACTTTAGTTTCCTGGTTTCTAACCCACCTTCACCCTTCAGACTGGCTCTCATATTTAGCCAGAGCTCAAGTGTGTGCGTGTGTGTGTGTGTATACACGTATGTGTGCTGCCCCCATGTATTGATGCTGTCCAGGTATAGAAAAAAAAAAAAGGTGGCCAATGCCCAGAATTGGAAATGTAATATTCCTTCCGACACCATGATAATAAAAAAGGTTTTAGAATGTGCAGAGACCGACAGGCTATCGATGGAAATGAAAGAGAGAGAAGAAACAGAGTACCATGAGATCTGGAACCTGTGGTATAACTGGTTAGAAGTAGATGAAAGAAATGTAGGAGTTATGGTAAGATGAAATAATACTGTGTATAACTACGTAAATATGTAAATATATTATTACTCATATATTTACATATTTATGCTGAAAACTAAAGTTGAGTGTGGCAGTGAAGGAAGTAAGGAGAGGACAGCTTGGGGAAGAAACTTTGGTGTCCCAAGCGCCGACTTATTTTCCTTCATGGTGTAACCCAGGGCTCATCTGTAGATAGTCCAACTGCTAATATTTGCAGTGAAATAGTGATGCACAGCTGTACTGCATGAACACAACATTATCCCATGTACTTGCGTCTCCAGTGTAAAGGGACGGTGATGGTACCTACTTAATACATACACTTCTTTTTGGAAAAAGAAACAGATCAGTAATCTAGTAGTTTATTGGATTGATTATAAACTACTGAATCTTCATTTTCAGAGTTTGGAGCCTCTTCCCATGAGTGGTCCTGATTTTCGTGGTGAAGAAGCAGAGCTTGTGGAAGTTGAACCAGAAACTAAACAAGAAATTCTTGAAAATAAAGATGTAAGTATAAGGGTTTCCTGTCTTCCCCTTAGTTATGTAGATCAGGGACCCACAAAACCTGATCCACAGACCAGTCCCAGTCTGTGTCCTGTTAAAAACTGGACTGCTGTGATGACCGTGGCACAAAAGCAACAAAGTCACAGAAGTAGGTAAAGTCCCTTTAATTCCTCCAACTTGGCCCCCAGTGTCTAGTTATCATCGGCTGGAGAAAAAACTCCCAAGAACAGTTTTTAAAGAGAAGAAATTCAGTCCGAACCCAAAGTACATATAAATTATAAATAAAAACCAACACAAACCACACGGCAGCAATTAACGAGGCAGGGCAGGATAAGGAATTGCAGACTTCAAAAGATAACGAAACACAAGTTGGGAGGACGCCAGAACCCAGATAAGACATGACAAACAAAGATAATGCACGCTTTGCTTCCAGCAAGGTGCTGTGCGCAAACATCTTTTTAAAATCCTGTTTTCCCAGCTGCAGCTAATGAAGCGAATCAGGCCCTTTTTCTCCCCTGTAACCCTTGTTGCTCCCTGCTCCATTCCTCCCTGCATGCCGTAGAATGAAGACGGGGTGGCCCTGGGTCTTCCTCTGAATGCTCAGCCAGACTATGCCCTTCCCCAGTTTCCTCCACAGCCACCGGAGCCACACTCCCTCTCCTTGTCATCTGCTCGACTTCCCCCTCCGAATCAGATTCCAACAGGGGCATGACAGCTACACAGCTGGAGGTGAACAGCAAGTAAGTGATTTGTATTTGCAGCCGCTCCCCACAGTTAGTGTCACCACCTCAGCTCCATCTCAGCTCATCAGGCATTAGATTCTCATAGGAGTGTGAATGCTGCTGTAAACATGTGAGGGATCTAGGTTGCGAACTCCTCCTCCCTTCACCCAGTTTGTGGAAAAATGGTCTTCCATCAAATTGGTCCCTGGTACCAAAAAGGTTAGAGACCACTGATATAGAGTACTGTACTGTATGCAATAAAACTGATTACTGTTACAAATGATACATCTTTGAAACGACTGTGCCTGACACATTTAGAAATAAACTTATCTTTTTATGTGACACCTTGCATAAATTCAGGTGGGCTAATGTAGTTAAGTAATTTTTTAAAAAAGTAAAAACCTTAAGCAGAAGGATACAATTACCTCTTTGGGGAAACACCAGAAAAACTAAGATGATGTATTTAATGGGTTTGGATAGGGGAAGCATTTGGCTTGATCTAATCAAAATAAAATCCTGGGCTTTAGTTTTGAAGACCTTGGAGCAATTAAAAATATTGATCTTCTCACCAAAATTGTTTAGTCTAGATAATGCCAACTTTTAGATGGTAGAGGATCTCCTTAATATTGAATGTATCTCTTGACAAAATTTGTGACAAAATCTTCATGCTGATGGAATCATTATATCTATTAATGCAATAATTTCTAATATCTGCCCATAATTTAATACTTATTACTTTGCTTTTTAGGTTGTTGTTCAGCATATACACTTTGAGGGACTTGGAAGAACTAAAGATGACATTATTATGTATGAAATTGGTGAAGTTTTCAAAGCTAAAAATCTGATTGATGTGAGTACTCAAAATTCTTTAACACACTTTCCAAAAATCTCAACAACTACATTATAGTAACATTTTTATTTAATTCCATAGAAATTTAAAAATATAATTGCTCAACTTATGTGCCCAAATAAACTTGCAAAACTTTACTAAAAAGTTTTTAGTATTTTGGAAGCAGGTTTTGAACTATATCAATTTGGGATTGTGGAAAGATAACTGATTTTTTAAAAAAAATCTGACGGACACAGATTTACAAATTTAAGGGGTTAGTTGTAACATTGTGGTATGTAGGGAGTTTCAGTATGAATTATCTCAAACTCAGCTCTCTGATTTGAATATGAAATGAGCTGCCACAGGCATTTTAAGCTTCAGTGTTGCATATTTTCATTAAATTATATGAAACATTCCATAGTTGTTAATGTCAATTTCTTTGTGTAGCTTTTCCATGTTGCCATGATCTTTCCATACCCCTTCAATTCTACATCTGATCTTGAAATCTGGATCAGTAAATTACTCAGATATGTACCTGGGCACATACCTGAGAAAAGGAATTGATTTTCAAGACAGTAAAGTATCTCTGGGAAGTTGGTTATCTTTTTTTAATGGAAGGATAAGTACATAGTATGTAATCCAAAAAAATTAAAATCTATTTTTGTAAAAATTCAAGTACAGTACTCAGAAAATTCAGTTTCTTTTATGAACATGCAGAGCTCATCATGTCCAACTATTTACAAAGTCTGCACTACTATTACTATTAATCTTCTCATCACTCCTTATCACCCATCCCCTCCCACTTGTGACTGTATGACTTAACTTTGTCACTTGTATCCTTATTATGATTTATATTGACTGTTTCCTAGTATGACTTGATTGCTTATTGTACCCTATGACTTTCATTAAGTGTTGTACCTTATGACTCTTGACGAATGCATCTTTTCTTTTATATACACTGAGAGCCTATGCACCAAGACAAATTCCTTGTGTGTCCAATCACACTTGGCCAATAAATAATTCTAATTCTAATTGAGTTAGTTGTATTAATTGGCACCAAATGAATGGGTGTTGATTTAACACATCGCTATTGGAAATATTTGTAATAATTTGGTTATGTTTTGACATGACTTTTATATTTTGAAGGTAATGAGGAAATCACATGAAGCTCGTGAAAAGCTCCTCCGCCTAGGAATATTCAGACAAGTTGATGTACTGATTGATACATGTCAAGGTAATAATAACAGAATAACAGAGTTGGAAGGACCTTGGAGGTTTCTAGTTCAATCCCCTGCTCAAGCAGGAGACGCTATAGCATTCCAGACAAATGGCTGTCCAGACTTTTCTTAAAATCCTCCAGTGATATTTCTGAAGGCAAGTCTTTTCACTGGTTAATTGTTCTCCCTATTAGGAAATTTCTCCTTATTTCCAGGCTGCTTCTCTCCTTGATTAGCTGAAGACGCTTCTTGGATGAGAAGCAAAATGCCTTCCAAGAAAAACCAGAAAGTCCAGTTGCCTATTGAAAAAGCACCTTTGGCTCCCTTCTCGTCAGTTGAAATCAAACCAGATCAAATTCAAATCATTTGAAGCGATGGGTTGTTTTCTTGCTTCTTGCATGGGGCGATTGGAAAGATTCTCGTAACGTTGATTGAAGACAAAACAGTTATATGATGTGGATCAGTAGCACATCCAACATTTTTGATCTTGGGATATGTAGTCAGCTTATCACAGAAGACATCAGGTTGTTTGCTTTTTCAATATACAGTTAAATTGCCAGAAAAAGAATTGTGTTTCCCTACAATAAAGATAGTTCTATCCTGACTTCCGGTTTGTCGGCTTCGCGAGCGGCAGGGATTTGCGAAGCTGCGCGATCCCTGCCGCGCTAGCCGTTTTTGGGGCTCCGACCCAGCCGGGTACGGAGCTAGGCTGCCCTGCAGGGGCAGCTGAAGGTAGGGGGATCCGGAGAAGGGTTTGGGGGTGCTGCAGACTCCCTCCCTGGCCGGCAGAACTCCCTTTTCCCAGGACGGTGCAGCGGCGGTCTGTAATGGCCGCCACAAAGAAGCTGGCAGCCGGGTAAGAATGCGCAGGAGGAAGTGGAGAAAGTGATTGAGAGGAGAAAGTTTTTCTTGGCTCCTAGGACTCTAAGACATATCTAATAAAATTCCTGAAAAGTATGACTTTCTGAATAATACCTGCCAGAAGAGGAAAAAAGCGGCTGTGAAGGTGCTGAAAGGATAGCTTTCCCTCTTTTCCTACGGAATAAATAACTGGATATTAAGAAACCTATTTCTTTTAGGTGAAAATTGGTTTTAAGCGATGAGTGGGAAGAGAGAGGATTAAAAAGAAAACATTTGTATGCTAAGATTTGTTGGAGCAGATGCCTTAAGGATTTGAAGACTAGAATATATTGCAATAAGATTTTAAACAGATTTGGACTTTCTTTCTCTTGGATTGATATTGCCCCAGAAGGAGAAAGTGAGAATTCTGCCTTGGTTTGGACTGACTGATAACTTTGGGACTGTTTTTTTTTTTTTTTTTTTCTTTTGAATATTCTGGTTGTTGTAAGAAGAAAGAAGGGGAAAAGAAAAGAAAAGATTTATAATGGCTCTTTCTGTTGAGGAACTAAGAAAAGAATATGAACAAGCAAAAAAAAATGGTAAAGATGGTGTGGAAGAAGCTTTCCTTCTCTTAGAAATGGCGCTTATTAATTATCAACAAACATTACAACAGATGAAGACAGCAGAGGAACAAGAAAGAAAGAAAGGAGCCATCTTTAATGAATCTCAGAACTTGATCCAGAAAGAAGGAAGAGAGAAAGAAAAGAAAAGAAGAGAAAAGAAGAAAATTAAAGGACTTAAGGACCTAAGATCTAAAAAAACATTTAAGAAAGGGAAAAATAAGGTGCAAAACCAATATGATGATAGTAAACAAAAGGGAAAAGGAATACGACAGAGAAGGGAAGCTGGCAAGGCAGAGGCTAGAAGAAGGGGGGGTAGAAAGGTTTGTTGGGAGAAGAAAGAAAGGGAAAAGGTGGAGAAAAGCTACAATGTCTTGAAATTAAATGAAAAAAAGAAACTTTTTTTGGATAATGGATAAAGTATAATTTAAAAAAAAAAAAAGATTTTGCAAGGTACATAAGATGAGATGGTAGTATTGTAATGATTTAAGAGTTGATAAGAGATTAAAATGTTAAAATGTTTAAAAATGATTGGCTTTAAAACTTAATAATAGGGGAGGTTTAGAATATTGTTTTAATTAAAGAGTTTAATAAGACTATGGTATTGATGTTATTATAAAATTTTTATTATAGTATCTTTTTTTTAATATTTGGATTTATTGTCTAATTATGCTACTTAATTATGTTGGATGTATTAGTTAGACAGAATGTACCAAGCAAAATCGGATTGGGTATTAGATATTATTTTAAAGATTAATTTGATTAACTTAGGGGGGAGATAGAAAGGCATCATACTCTGATTAATGATTTCAGGAGAAACTTATTTTCTTTTTTTTTTATAAGGAATGAGACAAAGGGATGATAAAAAATGGACAAAAGATATAAATATAATGATTCAAATTAAGATGATTAATTAAGATAGAAGTAAGAAGTGTGAAACATGTGGGGAAGTTAATATAGAAGGCTTAGAATGGTAAATAAAATAAGTAATGATATGTAAGATGAGCATGAATATAATTGAAGTCCATGAAGAGAGAGACACCTGGGTCCAAGTTACTTTCCAAAAAGATTTTTTTTTATGTTTTGTGTGTTGTGTGTATATGTCTTTTTGGGGGGAGAATTAGTTAAAAATTGTAGAAATATAGATTGAGAATAATGGTAACTAAGTCAGAAAGAAACAGATGAAATAATAATAATGATATTGAATAAGAGTAAAGAGAAGTAAAGAGAAATTGAATAAGAGGTTTTGGTATGTTGTATGGAAATGGTTTAAAACAGAATTATAATTTATCTGACTTGTTAAATTGACAATGAAAAAAGGTTTAAACATGTAATGAACAATGACAATTTGTGTGTTTTAAAAATTAATAAAACTTGTTTTAAAAAAAAAAAAAAGATAGTTCTATCCTGATTATAGTGCTGTTTTCCCCCCCTTTATCTGTTTATAATTAAATTTGTTAAATTGCCAATCTTGGACCAAAACAAAAGTCAAGGGAAATAAAAAGGAAGAGTGCATCTTATACACAGTAGCAAGGCCCAGCTAATTCCACTTAATCCCAGCTAAACCAGATCAAGGGATGAGCCTGCCCTTCCGCCAGTTTTTCTTCTTGTTGTGGAGATGGAGGCTTGGGAGGTATTGGCACATCTCTCTGCTGAGGATCGAAGCAATGGCAGACTTCATGCTGCATTTGCAGGAATCAGCATGCAGAAGGAGAGCGCTACGGAAGCATGGAAGGGCCAGTCTCGAGGCTTACCTGGAGTTTGGAAATTGCTTGCATGCCTGGGTTATCCAGTCCAATAGTCTTGCTAATTGCCGTTGTGTATTTGGGTGTTTCTTACTTGTTCTGAAGTCTGGTTTAGCTTTAGTGCGAATTAGTTTTAAATTGTTATATTAAAAAGCATCCATTAAAAAGATCAGTGTTAGAACTTCCTTTGAAATTTCTGTAGTACAGGTAGTCCTTGCCTTACAGCAGTTCATTTAGTGGCCATTTGAAGTTAAAACAGTACTGGAAAAAGTGACCTATGACCATTTTTCACACTTATGACCATTGCAGCATCCCCACGATCATGTGATTTACATTTGGACACTTGACAACCTGTCCTTCTTTACAACGGTTGAAGTGTCCCGGGGTCATATGATTCCCTTTTGCGACCTTCTGACAACCAAAGTCAATGGGGAATCCAGATTCACTTAACAACCGGGTTAACTCACTTAACAACTGCAGCAATTCACTTGATAAATACGACAAGAAAAGTCGTAAAATGGGGCAGAACTCACTTAACAAAATTCTCACTTACCAACATAAACGTTGGGCTCAATTGTGGCCGTAAATCGAGGGCTGGCTGCATTTCTTAAGGAAGCGAAACCCAATAACAGATGGAGAGACCAGTATTTTAATGAACTGTGTCAGAGCTTGAGCCCAGTGGGCATCGTACTTGGAATCAGGCTGCCTAGATTAAGAGTGGGAAATTGGGTGGCCCCTGGGGCTTTCTGCCTTCAGCTCCCAGCTACTGTGCTTTCCCAAAAATAAGACCCTGTCTTATTTTTTATTTTTTTGCCACCAAAAAAGGTACCAGGTCTTATTTTCTGGGAATGTCACCCACTGATTTGCCTTACTTGTGCGTGAGGTACGCCCCCGGCCTCCTTTTTGCTGTCAGAGGCCTTCAGGAACTTCTGCGTCCAGCAAGACTTTCCTGAAGGCCTCTGCAGCTGATAACAGAGCTCTGGATCGATCCGGAGCTTTGTTATCAGCTATGGAGGCTGTCATGCCCCTGGTGGAGTCTGACTCTGAGGGAGAGGAGGAACAGCCGACAGGGAGTGGAAGTGTGGCTCTGGAGGTTGTGGAGGAGGCTGGGCAAGGGCAGAGGCCGGCTGGGCAGTCAGAGGAGGACTAAGGCCCATCCCCTCTCCATCCTAGGGCACGCAGGGAGGAGAGGATAAGGGAGAGACGTGGTCTACTGGGGAGGAGAGGGCCTTGATCCTCTTCATGGGCTGCAGCTGTGACAACTGAATAAGAGGACGGACATGCGTACGGGCAAGTGCTAGAAACAAAGCATGGAAATACCTCTAGTTTATTGTTCCTCTCTGAGTTTGGCGTCCTTCCCAGTGTGTGTTTCGATATCTGTGGATGTCTTCAAGCCCTTATCTTGCCTGATTTGTGTTGTTTATGCTCTTTATAATTTATAGGCATTTTTAGTTTAAATGGCATTTCCTCCTTCTTGTAACTGCTTGTGTGGGAGTTTTATGTCTCCAGTCAAGGATATTTGGAGCTTGGGAGCAAAGTGAAGGAATAAAAGGGGCTTTACCTGTTTCTTGTGACTGTGTTTATTTTGTACCCCACCTTGGGTCATCACAGAGGCCTTCAGGAAAGCCTTGCTGGCTGCAGAAGAAATGGGCTGGCAAGGGAGGTAGGGCAGCTCCACCACCCACATCCCCACCCTAGCTTAATTTTTACCCATCCACTCTGGGGTGGGCGGGAGCTTAATTAGGGCTTATTTTGTGGGTAGGGCTTATATTGGCACGTGTAAAAATCAAGCTAGGACTTACTTTCAGGGTAGGTCGTATTTTCAAGGAAACAGGGCAGTGCAGGACCAAAGTTCTTAGTTTTCTCACTTGAAACCTAAAAGAAAATGAGGGTAACTTCAGCCCATGTCTCTTTGGTGCCAGTCTGGCCCTGTAACCACTACCCCAGGATGCGCGCCAAGCCTGTGGTATCACCGAGACAAGTAAATCACAGTTAGTTTGCCCAGTTTTGACATTAAAAAATTCTGTGCAACTCAATCTGAATCTTATTTCACCGTTCAAATTGTGCAAATCTTTTTGGCCAGCAGGTCAGCACTGTTTCCTTGACTAATAAATGCATGTGTGTGTTTGTGGGTTTAGGTGATAATGCTCTTCCAAATGGGTTAGACGTCACCTTTGATGTAACAGAACTGAGAAGATTAACTGGAAGTTACAACACCATGGTTGGCAACAACGAAGGAAGCATGGTAGGTCTTGCATCATTGGTTGCTTCCGAGTGTCGGCTCTGAAACATGACAGCCATTTAAATAGATACATGATTTGGCTTCATTTTGAGAAAACAGTCTTCCAATTGTACACTGCCCATTATTCCTGATTATTCTGTAATTACTTAGAAATACAAGTTCTATGCTTTTTGGATTAATCCACCTTAGACTAACGTAAGAAATGGACATGAGCACCACTCCCTAGAGCGGAACATGCCTGGGCAGGGGAAATCTTCACTTTTACCTTAGATCAGGGGTGTCAAACTCAAGGCCCGGGGGCCAGATCCGGCCCATGGGGTGCTTAGATCTGGCCCGGGGGGCTGCTCTGGAAACACAAAGGACCAGCCCATGGTGCCTCTGCTAGTGAAAATGGAGCTCGGGTGGGCTGCAGGCGGCCCTCGCGAGCTCCATTTTCACTGGCAGAGGGTTGCAGGGAGACTCTCGCAGCTGAAAATATAGCTCAGGATCCTGTTTTCATTGGCAGAGTTTTCAAGCCACCACAAGCACCCCTAACATGAGTTACGTTGAACTGGCCATGCCCATTTTGGCCCCCCAAGGTCAAACACAACCCTGATGCGGCACTCAATGAAATCGAGTTTGACACCCCTGCCTTAGATTAAGAGAACAAGAAGTGATTTTTTTTTGTTGTCTGGAAGGAAGATAGATAGTTTTCTTGTTGATAATAACAAAATATGGAACGGTTAATGTTTAGAACTGGCTTTTAAAAATTGTAAGGAGAATGAAAGTTTTGAAAAGCTGATAGAGAAGCTAATGGTAGAGAGCGTGTCTGTATGAGCCACAAACTAGCTTACTATCTATCATATTTTACAGGTCCTTGGACTCAAACTGCCTAATATTTTGGGGCGTGCTGAGAAGGTGACGTTCCAGTTCTCCTATGGCACCAAGGAAACTTCATACGGTCTCTCCGTCTTCAAACCACAGCCTGGTCACTTTGAAAGAAAGTAAGACTTTTAAAGTACGTGAATGCTATGGGCATATATTTTTTAGAGTCTCTAAAGTTCCCATTAAATCAAGAGGGCTTGTTAACCAAGTAAACATAAACGGGCTGCTCTTTAGGTTTTTGTGAGGTTCTTCAGAATAAATATTGTATGATCATTGATAACTTTTCCCCCCAGAATATACCAACTCTGAGCCTATTTTTTCTTTCTTGCATATATTAAAAAGTCAGCTTTCCTAATAATTTGCTTAGTGAGCAGGCTGCAAGATCATCCCTTGCATTTTCATTATTTATAAAAGCGGTCCCCAACCTTTTGGGTGCCAAGGATCAGTTCTGGGGAGGCCGGGTTTTCTGTGGACGATGGGGGAAGGGCTGGTTTTGTTGACTGCCTGGATCTCGCACATGCACGGATGGGGCTTCACTCACTTGCGCAGCCTGGTTCCTGGTGGGCAACGGACCGGTGTCAGTACACGGCCAAGGAGTTCGTGACCCCTGATTTATAAGAAAGGAAAAAGATGCTAGTTTAGCATTGTAAGATGTTAAACTATTGCACAAGAGAGGAAGAATCAACTTCAGTGTTCTTAAATAGATGTAATGTTTTAGCAGAAGTCTTGAGCAAGATTTTAACTTTTTTTTATTTACATCCAAAAGATACATTGGGGGGGGGGGAAATAATGGTTTTGAACCAATAAACCTGTTTCTGCTTTTGTTTTCAAGGGAGTTTTGGCATGGAAATAATGGACAAGAATTGAAGTACTTATAAGTCTTTATAAAAATTGTTACCTGCCATCCTTTTGTCCTAAAGGTGCTTTTTTCAGGAGGCAACTGGACTTTCTTGCTTTTTTTTTTCTTTGAGGATGTTTTTGAGGATGAAGAAGCTTCGTGGATGAGAAGCAAAACCTCCTCAAAAAACAAAGTCCAGTTGCCTCCCGAAAAAAGCACCTTTGGAACAACCATGACCTGGATGACGGAGAATCTCTGCAGACTTTCTGCCATTCATTTTTTGAAGAGAAATGTAGGCCTCAGAGGATTGGGGAGTGGAAGGCAGCTATTTCTAACATTTGACATCTCCCATTTTCCCCGCTACTTGCTTCTTTGCACATTGGCACCAGGCAATGAGAAAACAATCTGATTGCTATTCATTCTCCAGTATAGGCAGGGGTAAGTGGTGCCCAGTTATACTGTGGATCCTGTGCATACATGCCCCTCTGTGTGAAAATCAAGCTCCAAATTCTCTCTTAAATATTTAGCTTTGGCCAAAGGGAGTTTTTCTTCCAACAATTACACATCCGTCTTGTGAGACTAATTTCCTATTTTTTAAATTCCTATGTTGAGATTATATTGTAATTTATTTTCAGTTATGTTATTTTCTGACATTAGGGAACTTGGAAAGTAACAAATGGATGTAGGATTATATAGCTGCTCTTTCTTGTTATTCATGAAGACCAATATCATGCCATTAGGATAATAAAATCTGGCAAGATAATTTGAGTCTGCATTCTATCAATGGGTTCTTTTCTTATTTTCTTTATTTGCAGTCTGGGTCTTGTCTAATCACTTTCATAGATTTTAGTAATAAATAGATTATAGATGGGGAAGAATCTGTTGTGGGGGTAAAGGCTATTAGATGACTAGATACCATTCCTGGTACCTTCCAGATGCTTTGGATTTCCTTTCTCACAATCTTACCACAAGTTCTGTTACTTACATCCTGTCTTATAAACATCCTGTTTCTTCCATGATGGAAAAACATTTATTTTGCTAATACAAGCTTGGTTTCTATTACACTGGCACAGTCTTCAAATAGTTGTACCACAAACTGAAATTAATACAAATATCTGAGCTATTAATTCACGAGATGCCAAAGATTATTAAGCATTAAATTGTTGGCTACTTTTTTTAATCTATAAGCTTTTTTTTTCTTTTAACCCGAACCTTAAAAGTACAAAAACAACAACAACAACTCTCAGGTGCAATGGTACATTTTATTCTTTAGGGTCAAATCCTTCCTAGAGACCAATGCAGCAGAAGTGTTCTGTCCTTCTCAAGTCTATGTTGGAATTTTGTTGTAGTTTTTTTTTTTTTAAATTTTGGTGTCTTGCTTGTTTCCAGCATTTCTCTCAACGTTTACAAAATAACTGGACAATTTCCTTGGAGTTCCTTACGTGAAACTGACAGAGGAATATCAACCGAAGTCAATGTAGGTAAAATAGAGCCACCTTGTTTACTAGTTAGTGAAGGATGGTGAATAACTGGGATGGCACAGTGCTGGAGATTATTTAGAAGAGACTGGACAGTCACTTGTCTCAGATTGTATAGGTCTGTGATGGCGAACCTATGCCACGCGTGCCGGAAGTGGCACACAGAGCCATTTCTCCGGGCACGCGAGCCACTGCCCGCTGCTCTTCTGACAGGCCAGTTTGTCTTCACACGCGTGGGAGTGCCAAAAACCGGAAGAGTAGCTGCCTGGTGTGGATGTGCATACTGGGCGGCTGCTCTTCCGGTTTCCGGCATGTGCATGCGCACTGGCCATCTGGTCTTCTGGTTTTTGGCATGCATGTGCATGCGGGGACCAGCTGGCCGGTGCACATGTGCGTGCCAGAAAGCAGAAAATCATCTCTGCTTTTCCGGTTGCTGGCACACACACTTGCGCTCTCTCGTTTCGGCACTTGGTGCTGAGAAAGTTCACCAACACGGGTATAAATTGTCCTGCTTGAACAAGGGGCTGGATTAGAAGACTTCTAAGGTCCCTCCCAGCTCCTATCCTATCCTATTCTAATTTTTGACTGGATTTCAGAAAAGTGGTTGAGAGTTAGCAAAACAAACACCTGTCTGCAACTGTTTGAGGCAGCTACTTCTTTTCCTGAGATTCTCACCCTGGGGAAAGGTGCAGCCTCTTTAAGGAGTGGAGGGCAGATGTTATCTCTGTGTTCCCATGAGCTCTGAAGCTCCAGTTTGGTACTGCGTAGCCCTAACGTCAGTGCTTCTCTGGTTACCTTCCTGCCTGCTGCATGTCCCACATCAAGCTCTTGTCATTGAGCTCTTAGCGGATTACAAACAATCTTGCGGACTGCTGACAGACAACATTTCCTGTTCCTGTGTCATTGCATTATTTTTTTTTTTGCTGTGGTGTTGCAACAAACTGGGATGGGGTTAAGCATTGATCATTTTTTGTACCCGCACAGCTTCTTGAAATTAGCAAGGTATGTGTCAACCAATAAAATATTTCTCTGGTCTTTTAGAGTTGCCAGCAGAAAGGGAGGGGGGAGCAGCTTGCAAAACCGAAAGTGCATTCCATAAATGTTTTCATAGGTAGTTTCTAGGCGACTGAACTTTCTGCCATGCAAAATTCTAACTGGAGAGTATGATTGATGACTCTTGGCTAGGGATGTGTCCCATTGGAGAATATGAATTATGATACACCCAGGGGGTGAAGGAAAACCAGGATCAAGGGTGATAATGAATGATATGTCTCTGAATATTCTTGACAGAAGACAAAAAACTCCCACACAAACAGTTACAAGAAGAAGGAAAAAAGCAACACAAACCAGGCAAGATAAGGGCTGGAGAACGTCCACAGATAACACACACTGGGAAGGACGCCAAACTCAGAGAGGAACCATAAACTAGAGATATTTCCATGCTTTGTTTCCAGCACTTGCCTGTACGCATGTCTGTCCTCTTGTTCAGTTGTCACGGCTGCAGCCCATGAAGAGGATCAAGGCCCTCTCCTCCCCAGTAGACCACGTCTCTCCCTTACCCTCTCCTCCCTGCATGCCCTAGGATGGAGAGGGGATGGGCCTGAGTCCTCCTTTGACTGCTCATCCGGCCTCTGCCCTTCCCCAGCCTCCTCCACAACCTCCAGAGCCACACTTCCACTCCCTGTCAGCTGTTCCTCCTCTCCCTCAGAGTCAGTCTCCACCAGGGGCATGACAAGCCCTGACAGCTAGCTGACTCAGACGCTTCATTCATTGTCACCTTTGACCCTGGTTTTCCCCCACCCCCTGGGTGTATTATAATTGATATTCTCCAATGGGACAAATCCATAGCCAAGAGTCATCAACCATACTCTCCAGTTAGAATTTTGCATGGCAGAAACTATGAAAACGTTTATGGAATGCAGCTTCGGTTTTGCAAGCTGCTGCACTGCTCCCCCCTCCCTCTCTGCTGGCAACTGTAAAAGACCAGAGAAATATTTTATGAGTTGTCAGTTTGGCTTTTATCTCAACATCTCGCCCCTCATTTCAGGGCGAGCTGCTAGACTTGACTGATACCTGCTTTTCACAAGCGAAGTCATCCTATAGCTATATTAGCAACTCTGGCAGGAGGAGGCTGGAAGGATCTCACAGTATCTAGTAGTCCATCTCAGCCGAGCCATGACGGTTGCAGTGTCCCGGAGTCAAGTGTTCATCTTTTGCCATCTTCTGGCAAGCAAAGCCAATGGGGAAACCAGGTTCACTTAACAACCACATTGCTAACTTAACAACTGCAGTGATTCGCTTAACAAATCTGGCAAGAAAGTTCGTCAAATGAGGCGAAACTGACTTAACAAATGCCTTGCTTTAGCAACAGAAATGTTGGGGCTCCATTGTGGCAAAAGATGAACACATATGACCCCAGGGATACTGCAGATGTCATAGATATGAGCCAGTTGCTAAGCATCCAGATTTTGGTCACGTGACCCAGGGGATGCCACAAAGGTTGCAAGGGGGGAAAAATGGTCATAAGTCGCTTTTGCTGTCGCAACTTTGAACAGTCACTAAATAATCTACCCGTACGGTAGATTATGCAAACGTGCCCAGCAAATGTTTTACTGCTGTATAAATTTTTATAATTTTGCTGGGTTTTGATAATACATTCCACTTTGTATATGTGAATCCATCCATGGTTTATTACAAAGGTCTTCAAACTTGGCAAGTTTAAGACTTGTGGACTTCAACTCCCAGAATTCCTGAGCTAACATGACTGGAGGAGGAATTCTGGGAGTTGAAGTCCACAAGACTTAAAGTTGCCAAGTTTGGAGACCTCTGAAAACAGACCATGGAGAAAATATATATATATATATATTTCCTCATCCAAAGTTTAAAATATTTTTTTTCTTTCAAAGTTTCCTATCTGGAAGACCAACCACACACTAAAATGGGAGGCCGTCTGGAGAGAACTGGGTTGCCTTTCAAGAACGGCCTCATTTTCTGTTCGGGAAGAAAGTGGTCACTCCCTCAAGTCTTCTGTATCTGTAAGGTTTTTAAAAATTGGAATGCGAATTTTAAAGTAACACAGTTTGCCAAACGATGGCTGTTTAGTATGGTAAATGAGATGAACTGTTTAGTGCTGAAAAAAAGATTAATCAGATGAACGTTGCTCATTCTTAAGAAGGATTCAAATCCACTGGTTCTGTAGAATTATGGAGATATTTAGTTTAAAACTGTCAGAGAATCTCTCTTTTTCCTTTTGAAGCTCTGTAACAATGAAATAAAAATAATAATAGATTCCAAGCAATGTTTTCTCAGCCTACAATGTTAGCATTTAATTCTGCCTCACAAAACTTCATATTTTGTTTCTTGTTTATAGCATGCCATGGTAATTGATTCTCGAAACTCCTCAATCTTGCCTAAACGAGGAGCTTTGCTGAAGATAAATCAGGTATTAATACCTCATTTGCTAAGTTTCATTGTAATATGGAGAAAAACAATGCATTTGGATAAGAAACGTGGAAAATCCAAATGGTGAATGGGGAGATTGGATATGGCAGGGTTGGGGGGGGGGGGGCGTTTTTGGTCCCTTCAAGTCAGTGTTGATTCCTGGCAATTGCTGGATAAATCCTGCCATATTATTGGCAAGGTCTCAAAAGCAGTTTGCCGTTGCCTCTTCCTAAAGCTGAAATAAAGTGATTGGCCCAAGGTCACTCAAGATGGATTATACCTCAGGTAGGACTAGAACTCAGTTCCAGTTTCTAGCCTGATGTTTTACCACTACACAGATCTGGCAGTAGTCTGTGAAAAAGGGAATGGTGAAACTTTGTCAACCACAATTTAATCATGAGCCAGCACTGTGATGCAATTGCCAATGCTGTCTTGTGGTGCATTAAAAGAAGCAAGGGTTTAGATCAAGGCTCTTCAAGCTTGGCAAGTTTAAGACTTGTGGACTTCAACCTCCCAGAATTCCTGAGCTAACATAACTGGAGGAGGAATTCTGGGAGTTGAAGTCCGCAAGTCTTAAAGCTGTCAAGTTTGAAGACCCCTGGTTTAGATCATGGGAAGTAACTTTGTTCTGTGTCTTGTACCAAGAAAGGAGAATATTTATAGCTCAGGGTTGTCATGAGGGGGTCCTTGGTGTTCTCTGAGCTTACTTGTTTTCTTGCAGACGTTTCATTGCTCAAACTAGGTAACATCATCAGTGTCAATAAGGGGTGTGGTTTGTTGTCAGTTTTCATTCCAGTGGCTTGCCCTGTTGATGGAACACCTCCACCAACACTGACAGGGCAAGCCATTAGAATGTAAACTGACAGCAAACCCCACTCCTTATTAGTACTGAAGATGATACCTATCTGCAAGAAAACAAGAAAGTTTAGAGAGTACCAAAGCTCTATCCAATGTCCAGGTTTGGGCATCACAATCTAAAAAGGACATTGATAGACTGGAATTCAAAGAAGGGCCTAGAAATCAAACCTTCTAGAAATAGTTGAAGGATCTGGATATGTTTAGCCCTCAAAAAAGACACCTGAAGGGAACTGTATTAAACCTTCAGATAACTCGAAGAGTTGTCACATTGAGGAAGACAGTACGGGACCACAACCCATAAGTTAGAACTCCAGCAAAGGAAGTTCAGGCTAGAATTCAGGAGGCACTTCCTGACAATATGATGGTCAGCATTTGGAATAGGCTCCACGCGATGGAACAAGGTCTCCTTCACTGGCAGTCTTCAAAGAGAGGCTCAGGTGATTGTTAGAAATGCTACACTGAAAGGGGATTGGACTAGGTAGCCTCTAAATTACCTTCATCTCTATAATTCTGTCATACTCTGCATACTTTCCCAACCGCAAGGTTTGCAGCATGAATTCCCTCTTCCACATCAATCATGTAGCTTTGCACTGTGCACAGTCGAGCAGTTTTTGAAATAGCGTCATTTTCGTTTATAGCAGCACTAAGTTTATTAGTTTAAAATCAGATTATTAGGCACTCAGTTTATTGTCTCTGAATTCCCCCTCCCCCCTCCCCCCCAAAATCCCCTTTTTTCCCCAGGAGCTTGCTGGATATACTGGGGGTGATGTGAGCTTTCTGAAGGAGGATTTTGAACTTCAGTTAAACAAGCGCCTCTTATGGGATTCGGTAAGACCTCCGCTTCGGCCTTTCACTCATTGTTCCTGGCAGGAAATGACTTCCTTCATCATTCGTTTGGAATGTCATTGTCAGGCCTGCTGCCACTTAAACCTCTAAATAGAAGCGATCCTTGACTCCATTTGTTGGGAAAGGTATATTTTTATTAGAAGGCAAGTGTATCGCAGTAAAGCATATAGCCAGAACTGAGAATCGTGCGCCAAAATCCCTTAAACCGTTTCCTCCTTTAGTTACCTTCCATTGTCCACCTACTGTTAGATTCAGATAGGATGTTTTTGTAATGGTCAAGCATAGGATGGTATGCAGCTGGTATGCTGTGTGATCTTGAAGCAGCTTCTCGAAGAAGTACAGCACTTACTTTCATTTTCCCCTTTGCTTTCCCCTAACCCTAACCCTCCCCTTAGTTCACGGCACTGAAAATAGTAGGGAATAGTCTGGCACTGAATGGTAAAGAAGCACAAGCAAGCATTGAGGTGGCAGTTGACAGACATAACACAGCATATTTAGAATGTTTATTCTTTAAAAAAATATTGAATTGTATTGTCAACTCGTAACCCGGACATGTATAGCACTGAATGAACAGGTCAGTGTAAAACCAGTTCTTTCCTTACAGCAGCATTTCTCAACCGTGGCAGCTTTAAGGCTTCAATTCCCAAAATTCATCAGCCAGCAAGTGAGTTGATTCTGGGAGTTGAAGTCCATTCATCTTAAAGCTGCTAAAGTTAAGACATTGGCTTATGCAGACAAGCATAAGGGGGGAACCCATTTTCAAAGGGGGAACCGTAGAGATGTTACTATTTTGGGTATGTCATGTGAGGTAGGAGAGATTTCAATCATAGGTTCTTGGACAACAGCCGCTCCCTGTCCTGGAACAAATTCTTCTGAAACCTAAAGCAGTTTCAGAAGTATTTGGTAATATCGTAGTAGAAGCTCGGAGATAACTAAAATGTTTGCATGGGATAAAGTTTAGTTATTTTCACGAGGTTAAGAAACTATTTAAAACCAATTCAACGTTGTTGTGTACAAGATAGCCAAGGAAATGATGCATGCTTCTGTTTTGACTGACTTTTTAAAGTGGCCTTCAGGGACCTAGGAGGATCTGGCAGAGATCTTTGGAGAGTACAGGCACAGATGTTTCATCTTAGTCCCATTCTTTTGAATGAACTGAAAATGCTTTTCTGCTAATGAAAACGTTTATTAAGAAAAGTGTGCGCGCACAAAAAAGTCAGTTGGATCAAATGTTTTGCTTTTTTTTTACACATTTTATTGTAATAAATAACTTCCATTTAAGAGATTTCTGTTTTTCTGCAGGTCCTCTCGGCTTCTCTTTGGGGTGGAATGTTGGTTCCCATCGGAGACAAACCATCTAGTATTGCAGACAGGTACGTAGGGCTGATTAGCATGCTTTGGATTGGACTTATTCTCCCTTCATTACGGGCAGCACATTTTGCAAAATTCCCTTGACATATTTCATCCTGTTGAGGTCCACTCAACCTATTCCCCCATTTAGTATAATGTAGGAGTTTGCCACGAGGCAGCATCACCTACATCAGTGTTCTTCAGCCTCAGCAAATTTCAGGTGTGTGGGCTTCAGCTCCCAGAATCCAATCCAGAAATTGCTGAGACTGAAACCATGGATGACGCCCAGCCATAAAATCAGATCCCCCCACTTACCACTGTCATGATTTGTGACGGAAATTCTGGGCTGCGTTATGGTTGTAACTTTGAGGACTACTTAGAATGAATTAAAAATATTTTATCATGAGCATATAATGGTTTAGCAGTGGATCATAACTAGTACCTGTGTTTCCCTGAAAATAAGACCCGGTCTTATTTTCTTTTGGGCCCTGAAATAAGCACTGGGGCTTATTTTTGGGGATGTCTTATTTTGGAGGTGGAGGTGCCCAACGCACCCCGGCACCCGTTTACCTTGTGCCTGAGGCTCATTGCGCTGGTGAAGCCGCTTGCGGATGGACGCTGCGTGGTGGTGTGGCATTGTGTGCGCGAGAGACAAGCCTCACGTCGTTCTGCTTTGAGTGGCTCCACTGGCACAACAAGGTAAGCGGGTGTGGGGTGTGATGGGCACCTCCCCTCCTACCCTGCCCTAGCTTGATTTTTACACCTGTGCCTTGCCCCAACTTGTACAGCCAGATGGTGAGCAGGGCTTAACTAGGGCTTATTTTGGGGTGATGGTGTAGGGCTTATATTAGGCACAGGTGTCAAAACTGGGCTAGGGATTATATTCGGGGTAGGTTGTATTTTCGGAGAAACATGGTCATCTTAATGTGAGTTTTTTCTACTGTATAGAAGAATATGAAACTTCTGTTACATTTTTGCCAGTCAACAGTTTAAAAGCCTTCTCCAGTTCTTTCTCTTGGGTTCTGCGATCTCCAGATCCTGCCACATCCAGACATTTTTGTCTTTCTTATTGACAGATGTTTTGTCTGGGATGTAATGTAGCAAGGTGCCTGTCTGCTTGAATTCTAAAGTCCCAGAGAACCTTTTCATTTTCTTTTCTTTTTTTCAATATTTAATGCTTAAATTTTATTGTTTTGTGAACACATTGAAAGAACGTAAACTCCCATAAGTCCTCCAAAGCAGGGTTCTTCTTTCTGTGTCTGAATTGCTGGGAACCTTTTCATTTTCTACTACTTTCTCTATTTTATGGTCCCGCCAGTTCTTGTTTACAGGCAAATGGCATTTCTTGCAGATCTTCTAATGCACTATTGTTACTTTGTCATACCGTTGTTTGTAGACATTATTACTATTTTATTATTAGTATGAATATGCTAATTAAGTTTCAGTTGTTAATCAAAAAGACTTTTAATGTAGGGCTCTGGGTTTATTGCAGTACTTTACACTACCTAGGCTGCAAATGTACAGTGGTAAAAAATGTCAAAATCACTGAGACTGGTATCCATCCAATACATAAAGCAGATTACACTGTAAAATGTTCAAGTTACAATTATTTGCTTAGCATTTGTAATGTAGACATAAGTTTTGTTGAATTTTTCTTCTTTTTTCCCCTCCACTTTCCCTTTAGGTTTTATCTTGGTGGACCCACAAGTGTACGTGGATTCAGTATGTACAGTATTGGACCTCAAAGTGAAGGTATGCCTTTCTCTATAAACAAGTCACTTAGCAGTTGTGTTAGAGATCAAGCAATCCTTGCTGAAAGGTTTTGAGCAGTTGTACGTATAATTACAATTGAGCAGTTTTACGTATAAACTATAAACCTCCATCCTGGCTTGTTGGCAGAAGGAATGGAAACCACGCTCTGGAGTCCACCATAATAGGGATAAACAGGCTCTAGTTCAAAGAAGATGGAACCACTGTACTTTCAGAGGCTGAGTAGTTTCAGAACAGTGGCCATCTTTGGCCCTGAACAAAGTTGTGCTGCCCAAGAGCACGATCACAGTTGGGGTTCCTCCTGAGCTCTGTTTACAGAGCAGGTGGACATTTGTGATTTTTTTTCTCCCAAGTTTTTTAAAAATTTATAAGTATTTTGAATACAGTGTATTATTGTCCAGGCATACCATTTTACAAAAAGGAAAGAGAAAATAACACATATACTGACAGTAATGATGATAATATAACAAAATAATTCTGACCATATTTACAATTATATTCGCTTGTTTATGTTCCTGTTAACTATATTAGCATACCTGTAATTATAAACAACATTCATATTTTACTTAAACATAACAATGCTCTTCCTTCATCTAATTTCTACCTCTTATCTCTAACCATTGATAAAACCTATTACATGTTAAATAATATTCTGTGGACACCATGATTAAAGTGGCTTTTGCACAGCTTTGGTTTGTGTATCAGTTGTGAAATTACTTGGAATAGAATGCATTGAACATAGTCACTCGCATCCTAGTTATGTCTATATCAGAATATTGTAATTTATTTTAGATGGGAGATTTAACTTCTATCTCAATATATTCAGTCTTATTGTTTGACAAAGTGGTTAAATTAGAACACTGGTGAAACACTGTGGACATAGTATACTTAGATTTCAGTAAGGCATTTGACAAAGTAGACCACAACCTACTTCTTGGTAAGCTAGAAAAATGTGGGATAGACGGCATCACCACCAGATAGATTGGTAACTGGCTGACAAACAGTACTCAGTACAGCTGCGGTTGCTTTTTTTTTTCCAGCTTCCTATCTAGCAATTCAGTATACATCCTCCATTCTGTTGCTGCTGTTTGCTAAGATTTATCAGACACTGCGTGAAACAGTTCATTGCATTTCTTGTGAGAAAAAAATACCTGCAGGGTATAACTGGGAATTTTTCTTCCGGATGAAGAAGAATCTTTGCTTTGAAAAATGTCTCTTGGGTTTGTAATTTGGCAAATGTTTTCTGCGGTTTTAGGCGATTACCTTGGAGGAGAAGCTTACTGGGCCGGGGGTTTGCATCTCTACACACCTCTTCCTTTTCGGCCAGGCCAAGGCGGTTTTGGAGATCTCTTTCGAATGCACTTTTTTCTCAACGCTGGAAATCTCTGCAACCTTAATTATGGTAAGGGCCTGGACTACTGCAATGCGCTGTACCTGGGGCTGGCCTTGAAGAATGTTCAGAAGCTTCTGTGGTGCAAAATGCAGCAATGCGAGGCGTTATGTAGGCTCTGCAAGCTGCATTGGTTGTGGCGATGTCTGCTGCTAGTCTTCCCATGTTCCTTTTACTTCTCAGGTGAAGGACCGAAGGCTCACCTTCAAAAACTGGCTGAGTGCATCCGGTGGTCTTATGGGGCTGGCATAATCCTGAGGCTTGGCAACATTGCACGATTAGAACTCAACTATTGTATCCCGATGGGAGTACAAAGTGGAGATAGGTACGTTGGCTTGTTTATGTTCAATATCTACATGTTGTGGCCCCTTCAGCAGCCAAATCTGAGAAGGAGGAAGAGGTGTTGGGAGTCAGGGTCAGCATCAGGGCAACCTGGGATCTCCGAGGGGGGAAGAGGGAATGGAGCTGGCAGAGAGAGAGAGAGAGAGAGACAGAGGCGGAGCCTGGGCTGTCCATCAGCCCTCAGATGGAGAGTCAACAGCCCCCAGGTCTGGAGGTGGCTGATGAAGAAGAGGAGGAACAGCCGGGTCCAGTGCCTGATGCGTGGATGTGCAGAAGGCAGAGGAGAGGAGAGCAGTGGAAATCTATGGGCCGATCCTTGGGAAGGAAGAGCCACCACTGCTAGCGAGGCCCCACCTTTTATTCCTCTGGGGATAAAAGGCAGGGGGCGGAGATGAATAGGTGTGGCAGGCAACTATTCATCTTCCGTCTGGACAGAATTATTAGCTTGCAAGAGAAACTTTTTGCCAGAGCTGCTGGCATTCCTAATAAAGGAATCTTTTGAGTTCACGTCAGAGGGTTTGTTGTGTTTGGGAAGCTGGGTCAGAATACTACAGCTCATACCCAAAGCCCTTTCATGCTTCAAGACAGTAATTCCACTTCAAGTAGAAAATATCTGGGTGCAAACATTTTCGGGGAAAAAAAAATCACTTCATGACTTCAAAGAGCGTGTTTCTAATTCAAAATGTTTTGTATACCCCAACCCCTGGGCTAAAAGGAGTTAGATTTTTGTTTGCTGTTGTTCTTTTTCATTTGACCTAAAATCAGAATTGGGGCCTTGAGAGCAGAAAATGTGTTCTAGCAGAGGGAAATGCTCCTTCACTCCCTGCAGAAAGTATAGCATTTAACCTGTCATTACCATTATCTGTTCAGATTACTGAGTCCGCAGGCTTATATTGGAGATATATCGAATTGGTTCTTTTTCGGTGATTATAAAGAACATTTCATCATTCTTAAAAGTAAAAGAATGAGCCATTCAGGATCACAACCTGACATGTTGTGCACCTTCCAAACCATTTTCAGGCACAAAGTTGCTTTCATGAAACAATAATAAAGGGACTTCTCTCTCCATTAGAGAGATTGATAAAATGTAGCTGTAGACACATTCGTCTCCTATCTATAGGAAGCATCTACAGCCCTTAGATTTAAAACATTTATTTGTATTAGTGCTAGATGTTGGGAAGGTGAAAATTAGTAGTCCTAGGAAATAGACACTGAATCACAAAATAAACCTGTTGTAAAGTGGTATTAAAAAGACTTCAAGATTAAACCCTTTAGCAACTATGATTTTGTTCTTATTTTTCCTGGAGTTTTGAGCTGTCGTAGAAAAAAACATTTTTTGTTATTATTGGAAATTGTAAATTTGCTCATCTACTTAGATCCACCTTGATCCAGCCTGAAGACCATATTCAACTCTGTTTTGTGTTGCAGCAAGCAAACCAAATAGAGGCTGAAAATGCTGGTGTGAATTAGTTAGAGATGAGAAATTGTTCTTGGCATTGCCAGTACTGTTTTTGATCCTTGGTCTGAACTCTCAGGTTTACTGATGGAAGTTTGCAACAAGCCTGTATTTATTATATAGAAGGGATTGGTTTGTTTCATGGAGCTATCCCTTGGGTCAGTACAAAAATGGTTTTATCTTTCAGTAATTCTTTACTTTATTATTTTAATTTTAATTTTATTTATTTATTTAGAAATACCAGGTTGAAATAAAGTTTTTTGAATTTATTGAGTGGGGGAAAGAGGATATTATACCTAACACTTTTTCCCCCTTTGCTTTCCCAGAATATGTGACGGAGTTCAGTTTGGAGCGGGAATAAGATTCCTGTAATATTGGTCGGCCTTTTGCGGTGTTGGTCCAACAGGAGCATCTGAATTCAAGTGTCATGGGGTGATACCCCAAATATATTTTTATTGAAGTATAATTATGTATGAAGGATTAACTTCAATTAAAAACCAGAAAAACATTCTGTGTAATGTTTTTTTTTAATCTTTAATGATTCGGTCAGAGATAATGTGACCTCCTCTCTGGCCTTCAGACCAAGGTTTTAATCTCGTCATCCGAGTCATGGACACGGAAATATCAGCTTCCAGGAAAGCTGTCTGGCAATGAGTCACTCAACAGAGTAAAACACTCTGCAAACAGAATGAAAGCAAAGAGACCAACCAACTGTTGCTCCTCCTTGGTGACTTTCCTAAGGAGAAGATGCATCAGCAGCAGGCTGTTTCAAGTGCTGGGTTGGTCTTTTCTTTTTGAATAAATGCATGTGAGGAGGAGGAGAACAGTGGTGGGATTCAACTTTTTTACTATCGATTCTGTGAACGTGTCTTAGTGGGCATGGCAGGGGAAGGATACTGCAAAATCTCCATTCCCACCCCACTCCAGGGGAAAGGTTACTGCAAAATCCCCTATTCCCTCCCCACCCCACTAACCTGCTTTCCAGCTCCATTCTCCTGTGCAGGGCAACAAAAGAAGGCCCAGCCGATCAGCTGGGGCTCAGGAGGCAGAGAATAGATGGGGGTGAGGCCAGTCAGAGTTGGCATTTGCCGGTTCTCCAAACTACTCAAAATTTCCACCATCGGTTCTCCAGAACTGGTCAGAACCTGCTGAATACCACCTCTGAGGAGGGACACTCTATGAACTGCATTAAACAAGCTTTCTTTGAGATTATTATTTTTTAAATAAACCTAAATCAAAAGGTGTAGCACCTTTTCCATCTAGCATTTTTTGTTATTTAAAAGCTTGAGAACAAAAAAATGTCATTACCAGGCAAAATTTGTCACGTTGCCTAAAAATACTTACTTATATAGCATGATTTTGTCAGCCCTATGAGGTAGACCAGATCAGGGACAATTCACAGAATGACAAGAACTAAACTTTATCGGGATCGGGCTCAGGTAGCAGAATCTAGGAAGTCTCTCTGTTTTTTCTTCCCTCCCCAGGAAATGCTGTGTGTGTGTGTCAGTCTTGAGTAATACTTCCTGGATTTAACACATGCTTCTTCTTCTGTTCTTGTTTTTGTCCTAACGACTTCTAGACAGCTTCTTTCAGAGGTCATTTCCAAGGATCTCTTTGGATTTTCTGATCTTTTTCAAAAAGGATCCCAGGGCAGATGCCAAACGTGATGGAGTGTAATTTAGTTCCAGCAAGATAGTTTGTGTCTCCTGTATGTTGAATAATACCTCTAACATTAAGCAGATTTCCAAAATATGACCATTTTTAAAGACAAATCTCTCCCCCCACCCCCTATAAATAGGTATGGTGGGTGAATTGGGCTTTAGGTTACATCAAGAAAAATTACTTCCAGATGAGAATATAGATTAGGTAGATCAGCTCTCAATTATTTTAGAAATCAAAGTTGATAATAAAATGGAGCTTTTTGATTACCAGAATGAAGGTTATTTCTCTTACAAGAGACAACCTCAGTGGCTACCAGTTTCTCATTCTTTATAATATTTAAATGACTGGTCTTATTGCCAGTTTTCTCTAGGAATGTCATCTTTCTATGAACCCTTTTTCTTCTAAATAAGTTTTCGAAGAACAAGAAGTTTTTGGGTTGTTCTACTGGAATTTTGGAATCCTTTGCAAAGTTCAGGTGGCTCCTGAGACAATCCCCCCCCCCCCAATTTTGCTTTTGAACAGTTCTTTGGTAAAATGACGGATTGAATTTATTCCCTTAGCACAAGGGTCTTCAAACATGGCAAGTTTAAGACTTATGGACTTCAGCTCCCGGAATTCCTGAACTAACACGACTGGAATAGGAATTCTGGGAGTTGAAGTCCACAAGTCTTAAAGCTGTCAAGTTTGAAGACCCCTGTCTTAGCAAATGAGGATGCTGACTTTTAATAAGCTTCAGTAGCTTTTCACTAAAAAGAATAACCATGTTTAATATTAGTTTACGTAGGGGGGAAATTCCTGTCTGTAACCCTGAATTCCAACAGCTTCTTTTAAGTTTGTTGGTTGACCCAGTTTGTTTTCCTAATTTTTACTCTGCACATGAGCAGGAGAATCAAGATCACACAGTCTACACAGCTGATCCAGTCATGAAGAGCCTGGAATGAACAGGATGTTTATTCTTCCTATGATTGCTGAAGCTTTGGTTCTGTTGGGCTATTTCCTTATTGAAAGTGGAGATTGTGATAATCTGACAGCTACTGTTTTATTGTAATGTAAATTTAACATTCATGTTGAAAACACACCCACTTTGAGTTCTATGGTTTTACGCTATCAGGACATAGTAAAAATCATTTGGTCCTTAGCAATTCTTAAAAGTGGGTAAATACAACCTCAGATGGACAACAACACATGGCATATTACACCATGCCATCATTTATTTTACAAAAAGGAAATCAAAATGGAGAAGCCATGTATGAAAAACTAAGCACACCTTGTGATTTAGTAGCTTGCAGAATTACTTTTAGAAGTAATAACTTGTAAGTAATTGTTTTCTGTATGACTCTTATCAGTCTCTCACATCGTTGTGGAGGAATTTTAGCTCATCCTTTACAACATTGCTTCAGTTCATTGAGAGATTTGTGGTTATTTCTTTATGCACAGCTCCCTTGAGGTCCCACCACAGCATTTTAATCAGGTTGACGTCTGGGCTTTGACTGGACCATTGCAACACGTTGATTCTTTTCTTTTTCAGCCATTCTGTTGTAGATTTGCTGGTGTGCTTGGGATCATGGTTCTGTTGCATGACCCAATGTCGGCCACGCTCTAGCTCAAGGCTCTTCAAACTTGGCAAGTTTAAGACTTGTGGATTTCAAGTCCCAGAATTCCTGAGCTAACATAACTGGAGGAGGAATTCTGGGAGTTGAAGTCCACACGTCTTAAATCTGTCAAATTTGAAAACCCTTGCTCTAGCTGTCGGACAGACGGCCTCACATTTGACTCTAGAATACTTTAGCAGAGGAGTTTTTGGTTGACTCAATTGCTGCAAGGTGCTAACTCCTGTGGCTGCAAAACAAGCCCAAATCATCCTTCCCTCCATCACAGTGCTTGACAGTCAGTATGAGATGTTTTTGCTGATATGCCACGCTTGTGCATTACGGCCAAACATCTCCACTTTGGTCTTGTCTAAACCATATTATTCAATCTTTTGCTAATTGTACTGCCATGAATGTTAACCATTTAACATACTGAGTTCTGGAAAGTGTGAGATTTAACTTTGAAATTTTGGGATTTTTCTCAGCATTGGGGCAAATTTGCTGGGATGTTCACTCCTGGGAAGACTGGCAAATGTCTTGAATATTTGTAAACCATCTTCCTCAATGTAGAATGATGGACTTTAAGTCGTTTGGAAATGGCCTTATAACCCTTCCCAGACTGATGGGCAGCAACAGTTGCTTCTCCAAGATCACTGCTGATGTCTTTCTTCTTTGGCATTGTGTTAATACACACCTCAGTGCTGGAGACCAGCAAACTCCTAGAAGTTCAGACTTTACAGAAGTAGTCACACTTGCTGATGATCAGTTGATCAAGGACATTTTGATTAGCAGCACCTTAGCTTTCTTCATACCTATGGAAGCACTAAGGGTATACTTTGTCACATATGGTTTCTCTATTTTGGCTTTTGTTTTGTAAAATGATGACATGGAGCGGGGGTCTTCAAACTTGACAGCTTTAAGACTTGTGGACTTCAACTTTCAGAATTCCTCCTCCAGTCATGTTAGCTCAGGAATGCCAAATTTGAAGACCCTTGGAGTAATAAGTCATGTGTTGTAATCCAGGGGTCCTCAAACTTGGCAACTTTAAGACTTGTGGACTTTCACATACTTCTGTGAAAGGTGATTTTTACTATGCCCTGAAAACATGATAGTGTATTTATTCGTATGACTGTTAGTCCATGATAGCAAAAACAAAAAAATCTGATCATCTCTTTTCCAGCTAAAATGTTTTATGAAAAGACACACCTGATTTTACAGTAATGAAAATCAAATGCCTTATGAGGCCATCTTTTCTTGGCCTCAATGGTTTCCCATTGCTGCCTTCTTTGTCTTCCTAACTTAGCCTACAGCCCGGAGGTTGGGGGGGGGGGAGTCCTTGGTGCTGAGCTTGCTTGTTTTCTTGCTGACCTTTCATTACCCAAACTGGGTAACATCATCAGTGTTAGGAGGGAATAGGATTTGCTCTCAATTTATATTCTAGGGGTTTGCCATGACAGGGTTGATGGGTGTGGTCTTGGTGGATCTTTGGCTGGACCAAGACCAATCCCACCAACACTGACCGGGCAAGCTACTAGAACAGGGGTGTCAAAATGGCAGTCCATGAGGCAGATGTGTCACATGCAGGCCACGCCCACCCCAGCTTCATGAAAAGAAAATACATTGCAATACGTCACGTGACAGCAACGCGAGTTTGACACCCGTGGACTAGAATATAAAAAAAAAAGCAAAGCCCATTCCTTACTAGCACGGATGATGTTACCTAGTCGGGTCATGAAACCTCTTGCAAGCAAAGCTCATAGGGCGGCAAGGACCCCCCCCCTCATTTCAACTCTTGAGCTACCAATATTCTCCTTTCTCGGAACAGGGAGATTTCCAAGTGGTCCCCCTGACCCGCATCAATCCCGGGCTTGGCTCAGCCAAGAGCCCCCCCCCTTCCCCCCACCAGCAACTTCTTCTCCCTTCCCTTCCTCACCCCGCCCCCAATCCTGTTGCAACTCAGGAGTAGCTTCCCTCCAGCTTTGAGAGCTAGAAAGACGCCAAGAAGCCGGGAAACCTTTTGTCAAGCCTTCGGGGAGCCTGGCTGGGAGGGGAAGCGGCGGGGCGGGGCAGCCCCTCCTAAAAAAAAAAAAAAGAGGGACCCCTCCCCTCATCTAGCAGCTGCAGCCGCAAGAGCCGGACGCGGGCGGGGGGCGGGCGTCTGTGCGCCACTGCCGGCGGGGTCTCGCCTCGCCTCTCAGTCCAGCCGCGCCCCCCCTCCCCACCTCTCCGAGCTCCTCCCGCGTCTCTCTCTACCCCCCTTCACCGCCCGCGGACTTCCTCGCCGTAGCAGGGCGCTGTGAAGGGAGCCGGACAGCGCGATCCTGAGGCGGCGGCTTTCCTGCGTTTAGCCTCGACGACGACGGCCAGGAAGGGGGGGGGGGGCCCCCCCAACAGGCCCGGCGCGCCTTCCAAAAGACCCTCGCCCGGCGGTCCATGTAGCCCCGGACCGAGCACGCCCACCACCACCGCGATGTCCTCCCCGGTGCGCTCGCCCACCCTGCGGCCCCATCGGATGAGGAAGGACGAGTCTTTCCTGGGGAAACTCGGAGGGACGCTGGGCAGGAAGAAGAAAGCCAAGGAGGGTGAGTAGCCGGACCCGGGAGGGTAGGCAGCCGGGGGGGCGGGGGACGAGGACGGGACGACCTTCTGGCTGCGTCCGGCCCCGCCCCCCCCCCCCCGCGTGCTTCGAACGAGAACCGTCGCCCGGAGCTTGCGCGAAAGGCACAGAGCCGGGCAGGTTAGGAGCCCCTCCAGCCCGAGTGTCCCGGGTGGGTAGAAGCTCGGGAAGAGACCTGGTGGTGGAATTAATCCTTTTCCCGGATTTGGATAAATTTGGATAGATTTGGATAAAAGGCGCCACTCTGACCTGCAAATTGCTAAAAGGATGCAAATGACCAGCTGTCTGCAAGGAGTATAAATCCTTCCATTTCCCCACCATCCAGTCAGAGCTGAAGAAGCTTCTTGGATGAGAAGAGAAACGTCTTCAAAAGAAAAAACAAGAAAGTCCAGTTGCCTCTTGGAGGAAAAAAAAAGTACCTTTTGGGACCCCAATAGAATAGAATGGAATGGAATAGGAATAGAATAAGGAATGGAATAGAATAGAATAAGGAGTGGAATGGAATAGAATAAGGAATAGAATAGAATAGAATTAGAAATAGAAATAGAATAGAATTCTTTATTGGCCAAGTGTGATTGGACACACAGTGTACATAAAGAAAAAATAAAATATATTCGTCAAGAAGCATAACATACAACACAGGATACCAACAAGCAATCAAACCATACTAGGAAACAAATAAAAACAATATAAATTGTAAAGATACAAGCAAAATGGATATAGCCATCGGTGGGAAGAGAAAAGTACTAGGAAGGATGAGGAGAAGAATAGTAATACAGCCTTAGTAGTTAATTTGACAGTGTTGAGGGAATTATTTGTTTAGCTGAGTGATGGCATTTGAGAAAATCTGTCCTTATGTCTAGTTGTTCCGATGTGCAGTGCTCTATAGCATCGTTTTGAGGGAAGGAGTTGAAACAGTTTATGTCCAGGATGTGAGCTGCAAACACAGCTGCAACCCCTTGCCAGGTGTAACATCTCTCTCTCTCTGGATTGGGCATGTTGTGTGAAGGCAGCTGGAGCCTGTGTTGGGTAAGAGAGCCAGGAGTGCCTCTACAGGTAGTCCTCAACTTACAACAGTTCATTTAGTGACGGTTCGAAGTCATAACGGCACTGGAAAAAAAAGGGACTTCTGTTTTTCACAGTTATGACTTTGGCAGCATCCCCATATAGTCACGTGTTCAAAATTCCGTTCAGATGTTTGGCAACTGGTTCATACTTATGACCGTTGCTGTGTCCCAAGGTCACATGATCGTCTTTTCTGACCTGACAAGCAAAGGAGAAATGAGATTCACTTTAACAACCGGTTCCTAACTTATCAACTGCAGTGATTGACTTAACAACTGTGGCAAAAAAGGTTGTAAAGTGGGGCAAAACTCATTTAACATAAATTTTGGGCTCCGTTGTGGTCGTAAGTCAAGGACTACCTATGTTGAGAGCTATTGCTCTGAATTAGGTGTTATTTAAAAAAAAAACTTTCTGGCCATGGGTGGTGCAGTGATTAGAGTGCAGTACTGCAGGGACGCGGTGGCTCAGTGGCTAAGAACGCTGAGCTTGTCGATCAGAAGGGTTGGCAGTTTGGTGGTTCGAATCCCTAGCACTGTGTAATGGAGTGAGCTCCCGTTACTTCTCCCAGCTTCTGCCAACCTAGCAGTTCGAAAGCATGTAAAAAATGCAAGTAGAAAAATAGGGACCACTTTGGTGGGAAGGTAACAGTGTTCCGTGCGCCTTCGGCATTTAGTCATGCCGGCCACATGATCCCGGAGACGTCTTCGGACAGTGCTGGCTTTTCGGTTTTGTAATGGAGATGAGCACCAGACCCTAGAGCCGGAAACGACTAGCACATATGTGCGAGGGGAACCTTTACCTTACTGCAGACTACTGCTGCCGGCTGCAAGCAGTTCTATTCTCACCAGGCTCAAGGTTGACTCAGCCTTCCATCCTTCCGAGGTCGGTAAAATGAGGACTCAGATTGTTGGGGGGCAATAAGCTGACTCTGTTAACCCCTTAAAGAGGGCTGTAAAGCACTGTGAAACGGTATATAAATCTAAATGCTATTGCTATTTTCTCGTGATTTTTCCATCCGAAGACTAAGCCTATCTCACCTTGTTTAGTTGCCAAGGTCGGCCGAGTGCTGCATCCATTTCTATTGCAGGAAACATTTCATCTCCTGGATTGTTTCATGGGGGGTGGAGATGACTATAGTGAACAGGGCCAGTCAAATCCTCTGCCTGTCCTTTGGCAAAGGATCTCTATCTTTTATAGCTGCAATGCAGGGAGAGCTTCTTGGGTGACCCTGTTGTGGTTCGCCAGACAGCAGGTGCAGACGGCTGAGGTTTCGGAGAGCGAGGGCTCAAATGAGGGGCCTGCGTGTGATGCGGGGATGGGGCCAGGACTATCAGGGAGTAGAGTGCTACCTTCGGAGATTGTGGAGGCTGGCAACAGTGATGAAGAGATTCCTGAGGAGCCTGTGCCCAGTGCACGTGTGTGCAGGTCTGCTCGAAGGAAAGAGCAGCTGCAGCAGCACGGGCGACTCGGGAGTAAGGCTGCAAAGTAACAGCCCCTCCCGGAGGAGATAAAAGCCAGCTGAGAAACCGGAGTTCTTTGCAGGAAGCAAAGGAATTTTTGTATTCAAGCCTTGTGGACATTCGGACAAACTTAGTTTGTGTTTGGAGACTCTTTGTGTTTGAAATATTTCTTAGTAACTTTATCTAGTGCTCTTGGCAGCCTTGCACCACCTTGGCAAGGTTCATTCTTATCAGAGATAATTAGTTTGAAACCGCCTTTTAACCGTGAAGGAATGGAATTCGTAAAGAATCATTAAAAGGATTTTCTGTTTGGTGTTTGTTTTCTTGGAACAAGGTTTGGGTCAGAACAGGTCCCTGTTCTGGTGCAGGGACTGAGAAATGGGGAAAATCCTCTATGCTGGTTTTCTCATAGCCATGCAGTTTTGGAGATATTTGATAGAGGAATCCTGGAGAGACCAGGGACAGACCTGCCTGAGGTACCAAGGAAGTTAACAGATAACAGATAATCAGAGTTGGAAGGGACCTTGTAGCCCAAGCAGGCGGCCCTACACCATTTCTGACAAATGGCAGTCCAATCTCTTCTTAAAAGTCTCAAGTGATGGCGCTCCCACAACTTGTGAGGGCAACTTCTGTTCCATGGGTTGATTGTTCTCACTGTCAGAAAGTTTCTCCTTATTTCCAGGTTAAATCTCTCCTTGTTCCGTTTCCATCCATTATTCCTTGTCTGGCCTACAGGCACTTTAGAAAATAGCTTGACCCCCTCCTCCTTGTGGCAGCCCCTCAAATATTGGAAGGCTTCTATCATGTCTCCCCTGGTCCTTCTCTTTACTAGACTAGCCAAGCCCAGTTCCTGCAACCGTTCATTGTATGTTTTAGCCTCCAGTCCCCTAAACATCCTGGTTGCTCTTCTCTGTACTTTTTCTAGAGTCTCAACATCTTTTTTATAATGTGGTGAACAAAATTGGATGCAGTACTCTAGGTGTGGTCTTACTAAGGCTTTATAGAGTGGTATTAGTACTTCCCTTGATCTTGATTGTATCCCTCTGTTAATACAATTTAGGATTGCATTAGCTTTTCTGACTGCTGCTGCACACTGCTGGCTCACATTTAGCTGGTTGTCCACTAAGACTCACAGTCACTGCTATTGAACCTGGTTTCACCCAGTCTATATGTGTACTTTTGGTTTTTCTTGCCTAAGTGTAGGACTTTAGTTGAGGGAATTTGGAACTGTCCTCTCCCCCCCCCCCCCCCCCATCTCAGCTCAAAAAGAAGAAGGTGGAGGCCAGGACAAATTGTTCTGAAAATATTACCAAGAAAATTGCAAAATATAGGTAGTCCTTGAGTTACAACAGTTCGCTTAGCGACCATTCAAAGTTACAACGGCAAAAGGAGGAATCAGGCATGACTCCAGGACCATTGCAACTGTCATCAATGAGTCAGTTGCCAAGCGTCTGAATTTTGGTCCTATGACCATGGAGATGCTGCAATGGTCATAAGTGTGAAAAAACAGTCACAAGACATTTTTTTTCCGTTGTAACTTTGAACGGTCACTAAAGGACTGCCTGTACACCTTATAGAAATGTTGGGTTTGACCTGAAACCAGCTGAGCGTGTAATGGCATTGTCCATCTCTAGCTACGAAGTCCAGCTATGAAGCGATATGAAATGGTGTGAATTATGCCCTTAGTATGTCTGCATCTCTCCATGTGCCTGGGGATGCTCTCTTTATACCGGGCGGGGGAGGAAACTCGATTTCATTGAGGGCCGCCTCAGGGTAGTGTTTGACCTCGGGGGCCGGGGTGGGGGTGGCCAGCTCAATGTCACTTATGTCGGGCAGGGGTGGGATTCAAAAATCCCCGCAACTGGTTCGTTGCCCCGTTGCTGGGTGGGCGTGGCCATGGTGGGCGTGGCCTACTGGAACTTCCAGGAGGGCCGTTTTTTCGCCTTCCCAAAAGGTCCAGAAGCTTCTTCACAGGCCCGTTTCCAGACTTCCGGGCCTTCCGGAAGGCCTGTTCTTCCCTCTCTCAGAGCCTTCGTGCAGACCCTGCACTTCCCTGCATCGAAAATGGGCCACGTGGAGACTCCTGGGAGGGGAGGGGCAGGGTGGGTGGGGCCAGGCGGTCGGTTCAAATATTGGCTTGGTGAACCAGGTGCAAATTTAACATCCGGTTCTCTCGAACCGGTCCAAAACGGTAGAATCCCACCCCTGGTGTCAGGGGGCACCCTGTGCACCCCTCCCAGGGCACCTATGTGATGGCACCCCCTCCCAGACTCTGTTTTCAGCCGCGACGGCCTCCTGCAGCGCTCTGCCAGAGAAAACAGCCCTCCCAAGCTCTGTTTTCAGTGGCAGAGCGCTGCAGGAGGCCGTCGCAGCTGAAAACGGAGCTCGGGAGGTCCACACATGGCCCTCTCAAGCTCCATTTTCACTGGCAGAGGCACCC